CATATTTGTTGTTTCCGTCTTACATGCAAGTGCTTAACATAGAAAAAGTACGCTTAGCAGATCACGTTTAAATCCGTTTTTTTAAAAAATTAGAGTGAAATTATCTATTATGAAACTTGATGGTAAATACATTATCTGTGCTTGTTGTGGGTTTTTTACAATAACTTAGTTTTTAAGTAAGTTATGAGCATTTTTAATTTACGCTTTTTTATATACTCACAACTTGCTACAAATTAAACTATCGTAAAAAAGCCACTTACAAACACAGATAATTTTCTTAACATCAAGTTTCATAATAGGTCAATTCACTCTAATTTTCAAACTAACGGAGCTAACGTGATCTGCTGAACGCAGATTTGCATTGTAATGCACTTGTAAGACAGAGACAACAAATGGTTGTGTAGYGTCCTCTCAAAGAAGTAAAAATCCAACATATCATTTACAAATATCTGTTAAGGACCAAAKGTACCAATAATTATTATGGTTCTAAAAAAATCAATCCTATAACAAACATCGTCCCATCATACAAGATTTGCAAAATTTCTTTCGAAACATACCCCAAAAACTAGCATCATCAGCAATCGTAATTTATATTGAATAGTGTACTGTTATTTATACTTCAAATCAAAAAAAATATTTTATACATCAACTAAAAATAATTATATTGTACTAGTCTTGCCAATCATAATTTTTTTTTTTTTTTTAGCAGGCTGAAGGAAGATTTCACCTATCTCTCAATGTTTTTATGCCTAGATAGCAGGTACTTAAGAATATAATTAAAAAGTTAAATATATACACTTGAAAAGCGCATGATCGATTMAATAGACTAACGTGAAACAAGTAATATTCACAGATAAGTGTGTATATTATATAAGTGTATACTATAATAGATATCATTTCAAGATTGAATAAAAAATATTAGTTTTTTACATAATTTTTGCATTGTAAATTAACAGTAAACAAATAAATATTAACAAAATTAACTTATGTCACGTTATCCTCGATAGTGGCAACGGCTCCAGTTTAGTTAAAATACATAATACCAAATAAATAAAAAATAATAGATCTTTAGTACAAACGTTGTTAATCGATCAACAATTTTTAGTCAATTAGCAATCTTCTCCATTTTTAAAACAAATAAATGAAGCTCTGCTGGTTTCACAAGTAAATACAGCTCGGCATATTTTTATTATGTTGTCAAATACTATAAAAAGTACACACATACATTACGTATAGAATTCTGATAACTATTCACAATACAATAGGTAGGTAATATCTAATAACAACACATAGGTAATAAAATATGTACCTACCTAGTAGGTACCTACCACAAACAATGATTGTTCTATCGATACTTTATTTTGTATAGTATAAACACCTACTTAAAAGTGCACAATATAATAAAATATAGTAAGCCATAACACCAATTAGCACCTCTAAGGATTCTATAGAAATTGATTAGATAATTTTTGAACATTTAACAAAAACCGCTTTCAAAGTACAAACACCTCTGATTTCAGCATTGGCGCAAATCCCGCTATTTTATGAAGTCCCACCAGATTAATACTTAGTACTAAGCGTAAGTTATTTTTAGAAAACTATATGGAGGAGGCTATTTGCGCCMATGAATTTCACCAGCATGAAACATGTGATGATTCAAACATTAACTTATCTTTGTTAATTATAAACATTTTAAATGTATTTTTTCATACATTAGGCGATGGATAAAAATAACAATTATTTTATTACTTAATAACRATATTGTTAAATTAATTAATTTTTAATACTAGTGCAATAATTAATTGTTTAATTTAATTTCCCTTGAACACTTTTTTAACATAAATCTGTTTTTGGGCTGGATACGAGATGTTTTTGTTTCTGACCAATTTTTCGTAAAGTTTTCGTTRTCATGGTCATTTATTAACAAAAACATATTTATGATTCAATGATTTACCTTACAGATGGAAAATATCGACTATATGGTTATTTTTATAAATATAAATTGCCGAATATAATATACTAAAATTGTGTTTATTAATTTGTATATAAGATACAGATAACACTGGTGACAAGTACATTTACATYTTAACAGTTATTATATTCATATAATTAATAACTAAGAACACAACATAATAATACATGAAAATTAAATGATAATAGATAATTTTACATTTATGTAATGGCCATCTCCAAATAAAAATGTCATTTAGACATTATCATACATAGACTACTAAGAATAACACTGATGCATAATAATGTAAAAACAAATCAACTAATTCTTTTCAACTATTTTATAAAAACAAAGACCTAAGTGTCCATACTATTAGGTTTCTTAGCAATTAATTTCAATTCTTTTTCATTTACAACTGGATCATTGTATGTATTCCATTTTTGTATATCTGATGTTCCAAAAAACATGTAAATTAACCCAGTGCCTATGCATATTGATCCTGATAAATAAAATACTTTACACCATTGACTCAATGTTTGCTGAAAAAAATCCATTTACCTATTATAATATATTATTTAAAATCTACACAATAATACATCAAAACTTAATGGTTTAGATTTCGGTTTCTCTTGGGTGTGTTTGTTTTAGTCTTGTAATTAAGAAAACCACTTTTTAGGTAGTTAAAATGTTTTACCTTTTTTGTTTTAAAGAATAAAAATAAGTTAACTAGCTAACTATGCGGATGCGTAGGTTTAACAAAGTTTTCTTTTATTCTAMAAATATATTTAAGTAAGTAGGTATACCATGAAAAAATTGATATAATTGTCGTTATTATTAATGTAAGTGTATTAATTAATAATTAATGCAAATATGCAATAGTATTATGCACTAAAGTAAAAAAGTAATGTTGTAAACAATATTTCTTGTACCTACGTATAATTTGTAATTAAAACAACAGTCATAACCACGATTAAAGATATATAGGTTGCACGTCGGCCTATAATAAACTTCGAATTGGCTTACAACGTGATTATTTAAAACAGCTGTAAAAAACAACCACTATCGCTTTATATCAACACTCRACAATATGTGTAAACATTTTGAACTAATTTTATACCTATATCATATAAATTAGGTTATGAATGCAAATTAAATCTTTGATATATTATTTACTGACGCCAAATCTATAGCAGATTATCTACACTGATGCTTCCAAAACCAGTGTTGGAGTAGGATTCATTTACTATACAAACCGTACTCCAAAATGCTTCAAACTACTCCCTGAAGCCAGCATCTTCACAGCAGAAACTCAAGCCATCAAAGAAGCATTATTGTTAGAAAAGTCAGTATAATCGCCCAGAGTAGGGACGACCCGAAGAACTGTGTAAGCCTGTAAATATGGCCAATGACACCACTAACGCCGACTATTTGAGTGGATAGGCAACTATATATGTCTTCGCTTGAGATGGTACGGGTAGGAAACACAAGATACGACGACGGAGGGACCAAAATAAACTTAATATGACGGGACCAGGGGAATTGAACTATACACGGGAATAAGGAAGGTGAGTTTATTTATATTGGGGGGATGTCTCGGTGGCCGAAGTCGGTTTGGTGCAATGACCACCGAGCTCACACGACTAGGTAAAACCTTACGAACGACTTAAAACTATTTGAAGTCTRGAGACAGTTGGCTGAACTCGAGGAAGCTGATGATCTGGTCAACCTGGGCAGCCTCCCAAACACCAYGGCGAATGCTGACGGTATTACGCGAGTGTGAACAGCACAATCATCAGACGGAGGCGTCCTACGTGGTGTGGGTGACGACAACAGAACAAAAAACCAATAAAAAAACTCACGTATTCGACGGGTATGCCGTATGTAGGACTTGGTTTTCAGTGGGAATCGGCGTGGCGACAGTCGCATACGACAAATCGAGTGATGCAAAAAATAGTAAACAAAAACACCAATGATTTTACGCCTTAATAGCAAAATAAGTATAATAGGTTTCTTATCGCATTGACAACGAATAAAACTAAGAAGTATAACAATATAATAAATTATGCGATGATTGCGCTCAATGCGACTTACAATAAAATAAGATCAACGTGACACAAAAAAAACAACGTTACAGYAGCGGAACAGCAAAAATAATTACGACAAAGAGAATAAAAAACWACAAAAGGGCGTTGACCGCAGAAAAATAASAATAATAATAATAAATATATGAGGCAACAGGCTGACCGATAACTCACATTAAACAAAACAAAGAGATTAAATAAATATAACAATTATCATAATTCACAATTAACGGAATGAGAGGTGTATGAATGAAGAGTGATAGGAAACGGTCGTCGTCGCCGCACAGAATTGCATACCGCGATGTGCTAATAGCTTGGCGCGAACAGTCAGCTTCCGCAAATAAAATTCTTATAATCAGCGACTCCCTAAGCGCTCTTATAGCCATCGAAGCACTTAACCCCTSTAATGAGATAATTTAACAAATTCATAATATCATCTCCTCGACCCAAACAGTGTTTGAATTCATGTGGGTCCCCTCTCACACAGGTATCCCAGGAAACAGCGGATACACTGGAAAATGAGGCAATCACCTCAACCTCGTCCTCATCCATTACTACTCTTCAATACCAAGATATAATAAAAAATCATAAACACACACACTACCAATATGTGGAAAACATCCTAGGATGAAATACAAATGTCAAACAAATTAAAATCAATAAAAAAAAAAGTTAAAATAGACGTAAAAAATCTCATTACTAACAAACTGTAAAAAAATATTTAAAACTGTAAAATAACTAACACATAACCATGTAATTCCCAACCATATAACAATTTAAACCTACTGCAGGCTAATGACCTTGTTGTTGAAGCCTTATTATTAGGGTTCGGAAGTTATAGGAGCAAAAAAGGCAAAATATGCATGAAAAAATGTATTTATTTACCTATTAAAACTGTGTTATTTATTAATATACACGAAAAAAATTCTAAAGACAAATATTTAAAAAAATTGTAATATTTAAAACTTTTATATAAGTTATAAATAAAAAAAATATAAATATGGCGCGTTACCGGTTGGCGTTTGAGATTTTATTGAACTGAAAGAATAGATAAATAAATATATTTTCATTATTTGTGAAATACGAAATAAATATATTATGTTGAATAATACCTGTTAAGTTGTTTTTAACTTTACTAGCRTTGTTTATGTAACATTATTTAAAATAAATTAGTTAAGAATGAAAAAAAATTTAATTTTTGTAGAAAATATCAAATATACATACAAATATGCGATAATCAATGCTAAGATTTCTAGCTTGGTCTACTATAATTCGACAGCATAAAGAACAATATGCAACTCCTATAACTTCCGAACCCAACTTATTATCAATAAAAAAAAAAAAAATTATTCATATGAATCTCCCGAGAACTATTATCGAATATCAATTTTTCTACCATATCTTAATTCATTAATTCAGAGTATTAAAGAAAGATTTGAAAAAAGTAATAGTGTTGCTTTTTTACTATAACACTTTCATCCAGCATTATATATAAAAATGAAAAACAAGAGTACACTGAAAGTCTGAAACCATAACMAATATTTATAATTTTTATAAAATTGAAAATCTGTTAATTGAAAGTGAAAGTTGGTATAGTTTATAACAAAAAAAAGAATGACAAAGTATAGACATAATACATTTACTAGAACATAGCAAAATATTTTTCTCTGGTATTACAATTGCATTAGAAATTTTTCTATCTTTGCCAACTACAAGTTGTACCGCTGAAAGGTCATTTAGCACTTTACGAAGAGTTAAAACTAGGCTTCGGTTTACGACGGGTAAAGAACTAAAAACCGATTAAATGGCCTATGTATGTTAAGTGTCCATCGTGAGAGAATTAATTTAAGAAAAGAAAAATTCATTGAACAGTTAATAACAAGGACTTCAGTTTTTATTTAATAACGAATAAATAGCATATAATTCTAACTCATTTTTTAGTTTGCAAGGAATAAACTTTTTTTGATATATTTTTTAGTGTTTGATTTCATTATACCCCTCCCTGATAAATTTCCTTCGGGCATCTGCCTACATGTATAGAATAATCGAGTTATAAAAACTGCCGCTTGAAGCGTTACTGGTTATTTTTTGCTCATCACTTTGTTGCCACCAAACCKTGCTCATAACAGAGCTTATTATAATCCCAAATTAACTTCTATTAGATAAAATAAAATAAAAAATCACCTGATTCAAGGTTAAATAACCAACAATTAAGGGTGAAATGAATCCTGAAGACGTGGAAACAGTTCCGATTATCCCTTGAATCACTCCTATAAGGAAAACAATATTTCGTATTATAGTATAGTATCAACATTTTATAAGTATTCAGTGCTTAAATTGGGGTGAGGTGCACAGGACTCAAAGACGAAGAATCCCATGATTTTATTTTTTTTTTTTTACTTAGACGGGAGGATAGTATAAACTAATGCCAGAGATAATTTTTCTTAAAATGTGGAGGTGGTTTAAATTTTTGTCAAACAAACTTAACATWTTTTAATATCAAAAATATTTTTTATCTCTTCTATAGTTCAGACTACCTAACACTTTGATATTTTTTTAATTATAGTTTGCTTATATTATGTCACGTTTATTGTTCTTTGTCTACTTTATTAGTGTACAGGTATGTACAATGAACTCTTGCGTTATCAAATATCGTCTAATACCTATGACGTCTGAAACTGCAAATTAAGATATTATCACTAGGTATTCACTAGCTGATGATTATAATTTTATTTTTCCTACTGAAACATGAAGGCATTATTTCTATCAGTAATACTAATAATATAAATAAATGCATTTTTTAAGTAACTGAATGTATGAAAATAAAATTGGGAACAATTTTGAAAAAAAAGGTGAATATAAAATATAAATCCATATTTGCTTACATTTTGTTACATAGTTAAATATATTAATTTTGGAAAATATAAATGAAAATATGGTAAAAATTAGCTGAAATGTAGTATTGAAAATTTAGGAATAGAAGGGCGTAAGGGGGACATGGTTATGTTGGATTGAGTTCCTCTACTTTATAATTCCCAATTTGAGCACTATGTATACGTACTTAACGGTTAAATTAAATATCATTATCAAATTAATCAAAACAAATAATTGCGATATAAAAACATTTAGTAAAATTTCATTTTTTAGTATTTTATCACAATATTATACAAACTAAAAGAAATATGTTCCCATTTTACATTCTGAGCAGAGTTTTCACAGTGCTTAAATTTTTTTGTCTTTCATCACATTWTGGAATAAAAAATGAACCAATTTTCAACTTTGGAGTTAGTATCCGGCAGAAAATTAGATCTATTTTGTAGATTGAAGTACATTGAAAAGTAAAAAGTA